AAACAAAACTAAGCTGGGTGAACAGGAAGCTTTTCTTTTAAAAAGTAAAAGTGACTCACGAGGCTGATTCGGATGCTGGCTATGCAGTGAGGGCCCTGCCAGGAGAGCGGGCTGAGCATGAAGTGCTGAGAACCTTTGTGAACTCAGACCAAGGCGTATTTATTGAACAAGTACAATAAATGTGCAAGCTGTCTTCTTAAGCACTACAACGATAGATGAGCAAGACACGGGTCTTGCCCTCAACAAAGTGATAGTCTAATGGGAGGAAAGCTGGGACAGGGACTCAGATAACATAATGAAAGGTAGAATGTGATCAGTGCCTCCAGAGGTACAAGCCGATACTGTGAGGAATCAGGTGACAGGAAGATCATATCAAGTCTTGAGGTTCTAAAAGGCTTATCTGAGAGGGCCGTGAGGCATGGATAGGATTGCAGCAAGCAATGGTGGGAGATAAGAGGAGAGGAATTTCAAGGCGATGTGATAAAGAATCTTCCGGAGGTGGGGAAGCATATGGATCAGTGAGTGGTCCAAGTGGTTTGCAGACAGGGGGGGGTATGGACTGGGAGGGGTATGGAGAGATACGGCTAGAAAGTCTTGAAGTCATACTGGGGGGGCCTTGAATGCGTGGCTCAGGTGCTGATGCTCCAGGCAGTCAATGGATAGCTAGTTAAGAGGGGGGGTGTGTGTGTGTGGGGGTGTGTGTGCGTGTGTGCGCGCGCAGAGGAATAATAACACTACAGATGATTCCCAGGCAGGGTGACTGCGCAGAAGGGGTAAGTCAGGGAAGGGCTTGCCTGGTGAGGGTGGAAGCACTTAGGTGTTGGAGACACCCCTGATCAGTCTGAAAATCCTGCCCGAGATAGTGCCTGAGTCCTCTCCTGAGACCACAGAGACACACACAGAAGGTTCTGGTCATTACCCCAGGGGTTAGAGAACCGGAAAGAATGAGAAGGGAACCACAGCCAAGAGGAAAAGACACAAAAAACAGCCACAAGAGGTGGACATTTTTCTTTCTTAAAAGTTTAATTAATTGGAGTGATATTGGTTAATAAAATTATATAGGTTTCAAGCGTACATTTCTCTAATAATCATCTGTATATAGTACTGTGTGCTCACCATCCAAAGTCAAGTCTCCACCACCGTTTAACCCCTTCTCCCTCCTGTAATCACCATACTGCTGTGTCTATGAGGTTCGCCCCCTTAATCCTTCCTTTATAGACAGCCCCCCAACTCCCCTCCCCTCTGACAGCTGTCAGTTTTCAGTATCTTTGAGTCTGTTTCTATTTTATTTCTTAGTTTATTTTGTTGATTAGATTGCACATACGAGTGAAATCGTATTTGTCGTTCTCTGCCAGGCTTATTTCACTTAGCATAACCCTCTCTGGGTCCACCCAGACTGTCACAGGAGGTGAGATTTCCTTTCACTGCCGAATAGCAGTCCTTTGTGTAAACGTACCACAGCTTTCCTGCCCACTCACTGCCGGCGGGCAGCTGGGCGGCTCCCACGTGGTGGCTGGTGTAAGCCGGGCTGCGACGGGCGGGGGTGCACGTGGTCTCCTGAGTTAGTGTTTCCGGTCTCCGCTGACATATCCCCGGAAGTGGAATCGCTGGGTCACCCACAGCGTGGAGCTGCCTTAACAATTTTTAAAAATTTAAAAAGGATTTAAAAAGAGGTGTAAGTTTCAATAAAGAAATTATAGTCGAGCGTTTTGAAACCCAGCCTTGGAATGGGAGTGCGTGTGTTTCAATGGCCTGACTACTCATTAATAAGCAAAGGGACTTCAAGGAGTTTTACTTTTATTAATTCTAGCCCAAGGATATGCTTTAGTGATTTGAGAGAGAGCGAAGGGGGGGAGGGAGAGCAATAGACATGTAGGAAAGGCTGACTGGTGGCCTCCCACAGGCACCCCCTCCAGGGATGGAGCCCGCACCCCGGGTTCCGTGCCCACCGGGGTCAAACCCGAAACCTGGGGCAGGTCTCCAACCAGCCGGCCCGCCCCAGGTCTCAAGGAGTGTTTGTCTCTTTCCTCATCTGCAAAATGGGAGTGACCTCCATCTCAAAGGCTGAGAGCTTTCACTGGGATAAACTCCTTAGCGTGGGGTTTGCACACCTAGGAGCCTCGGGGTGAGCAGGGGCCAGCAAGAGAGGGGACTGGAAGGAGTGGGCCCCTGAGGAGGCTCCGGGGACGAGGGCAGGGCCCTCGGGAAGCCCCAAGCCTGTGCTTTAGCCGAATCCGCCGACCGCCCGTGAGGGGAATGGGCGAGCGGGCCAAGGCAGCCTCAGCCTAGTCCCCACTCCAAGGCGCTGCCCTGTCACCCATGCTTCCATCCCACCGCGCCTCCCAACCCCCGCCTCCCGCTCCGGTTCCCGCTCCCGCCGCCCCGCTCCCGCTCCCGGTTCTGGAAAGCAGACGCGCATGCGCGCTCTTGGGCTCCTGCCCAGCTTTCCACGTTTCACTTCCCTCCCTTTTCCGCAGCTCCAGCTCCACCGCTACGATTGGCCAGCCGACCTCTTCGCCTCGTCCAATAAACGCCGGGCTCTCGCCCCCGTGTTACTGGGTAGAACAAAACAAAAACAGAGCGAGAACGGCCGGAGACGCTCCGAGGCAGCGGCGGAGGCTGAGGGGGTCAGGTCAGCGGACAGGGACCCAGGGGAGCGGCGGCGGCGGCAGCGGCCCGAGGGGTCAGTACCGGCGCGACTCGCACGCCCGGGAGGACTGCGCCCTCTCCACAGCCCCGGCCCCTCTCGGATGCAGCCGCACGTTGGGAGGGGGAGGGGGCGTGGAGGCCGCGGCCGGGTCTGGTCAGGTCCGGGTCGGCG